AAAGCGCATTTAGAGCGCAAAAATTATTTTAAGCGATTTGTGAGATGCATTAAAAACATGGTTTATTTTCAAAGAAATTATAATCATACTCTTTCTAAGTCCATGTGAATTTTCCTCAAACATTTCTACTTTTTTTTGCTGTGAGCGAACATCAGAGAAGCTTGAAGAAAAATTAGAAATGTAAAATTGAAATAAATGGTTTTTATGTTATTCCGCTATCAAATCCACTGGTGAAATACCGCGCTTACGCCCAGTTTGTAGAGCTAGACTAAACTTCTTTTAAAAATTTTAATACTCTACAAAATATGTCTTGATCAAAGGAAGCATGTATGCACGTACGCAGAAAATTCGACAATTGAAAATTTTGTCATGAGATTTTATCAAACCTTTTGAAAAAAACACAGAACACAAAATGTTTTCCTTCTTAAGAGGATCAAAGGAAGCAAGTCTGCTTGTACGCAGAAAATTCTATGATTGAAAATTTGTCACAAAATGGATTAAAACTTGAGGTATAGCAAACTAAAGGCGTCCCCACTTACTTTGCATGCTATAAATTCAACAAAAGGATGCTCGACTTATTTTCAAAGTAGTCAGTTGGTGTGCAAGCGGCATGCAAAATGGAATTTCTGAAACGGAAATTTTATTATTGCGCTGTTGTTTGAAACAAATACTTTTTTTGGTTCATTTGATGAATGAAAAATAAATCAACTGTGTTCACTTATTACTTATCGAATGACAAAGCACATGATATCTAATACCGCAAGTTGCCCCAAAAAACACCGAAATTTGCTACTTTGGTTGAAAAACAAGGAACAGTCGTACTATTACACTACATTCGCTAATGCTCGCAAAACGTAAATAGCAATTTTTTGCGCCATTTTGCTATCAGGCAATTTTATTTGAGCTCCGTTGGGAAACAAACTATAAACAAGTTGCAGAAACTAAAGTGTCAAAAAATCAGATCTTGTTCAGAAAAATTGCACCTATCCGAAAATGAACATATGCTTGGAGATATTTAAATTTCGTGCCAATTCTACCTTTACTAAAAAAAACAACGTAATTTCAGCGTCATAGGTCGAGCTACGTAAAAGAAAAATAGAGAGAACCTATTTCAATAGGAATTGATATTAAAATTTGGATCAAGTTAACAACTTCCCAAAGCTTTTTTTGGGTGAGATTGGGAAGTTATCTTAGTTCAAAGTTGAATTTTTCAGCCACGAATATCGAGAATTTTATTTGCACTGCTTAAAAAAATAATCCTAATGATGAAAGTTACTTCAAATCAAAACCAAGCAATTAAATATGAGTTGTTACCCAGTTGTTGTTGTTGTTGTTAGCCCACGCGGGTCGGGTTGGGCTCTTCTGTCTCCAGGTCAAGGAACTTAGCAACCTCTACCGGCCGAAGCCACAGGTCTGCTGGGGTGAGTGGGGAGGGGTTTTGGGAGCAGTTGAAAAGGTGACATGTTGTGTGGGGGGCAAGGGAACAGGTTGGGCAAAGGTGGGAGATGGAGCTGTCGAGGCGGGATAGGTAAGTGTTAAGGAGCCGGCTGTAGCCAGACCGGAGTTGGGAGAGCTTACAGCGCGTGGGACGTGGGAGAGATTTTTCAGAGGGGTCAATCTTTGGGGGAGGGATACAAATAACTTTAGACGGAGGGGTTTCGGCTAGGAACTTGGTTACAAGGGAGGTATGGTTGTCTTTTAAAATTGGTTTGTAGTAGTTAAAAATAAAAGTGGAGACTTCGTCTCGGTCGTCCAGAAGTAGAGGGTGGTTTGCGTAGACTGAAAAGTCGGTTAAAATTTTCTGGGTGTCTTCTTTGAAGCAGTTTATAATTGAGGGGCGAAGTAGACGGGGAGGAGGGGGATGTGAACGTATAAAATTAATGGGATGGTGGGAACGATAGGTAGAGATAAAAAATTGAGATGACAGAAGGGTATGGTGGTCTTTGACCGTTAGGATTTCAGATTCACTGTGCAGGTGGGCAGTGGAACTCATTAGATTTGATCCAGTAACAACGCGAAGGGATTGGTTTTGGGCAACCTGCAGGCAATTTATGGAGGTGTTACTTGATGCGTGGGACCATGCGGGGGCTGCATAGTCAAGTATGGGGCGAATTAAAGCTTTAAAAGTTAGGAGGAGGGTTTCTTTGGAGTGACCCCAGGTTGATCCTGCTAATGCCTTCAGGATTCCGATCCTGCGTCTGGCCTTTTCAGCGGATTGTTTGCAGTGAGTGGCAAAACAAAGTGTTGGATCAAATGTCACCCCTAAGATTGTTGGATTTTTGTTTAGGGGTAGCGCCTCGTTATTTAAAAGAACACTAGGTGTTTTATTAAATTCTTTGTTATAAGAGGAGAAAAGTGTAACTGATCCTTTAGAGGACGCGAAACTTAGTTTGCGTGAGGTGAAAAAATCGTAGAGCCTTTTTAGGTAGCTATTGATGGAATTTGAGGCGATATCAATATTGGAACTGCTTGCGAAGGGGTGGAAATCGTCTGCATACGAAACAAGGTTTACATTATCGGGAGGTGGCGGTGCATCATGGACATAAAAATTGAAGAGTGTGGGTGATAAAACAGAACCTTGGGGTACGCCACAGTGGATTATTCGATGGGGGATGTGTGTTCACGGAATGAGGTGGCAGCTTGTCGACCATTAAGGTAATTACTTAGCCAGCGGACTAGACTTCTTGGGAGGGGAGTGTCATGAACGAGTTCCACAAGTGAGCGATGACACACCATGTCGAAAGCCTTAGATAAGTCAAGTGTGGCCAGTACCGTACGTTTAGGGGGGCGATTTTGGTTAAAACCGTCTGAAATGTAAAATTCGAGAGTGGAGAGAGCTGTGGTGGTGGAGTGAAAAGGGCGGAAGCCGTGTTGGTGTTTGGCGTTGGGGAGATGTTTGGTAAAGATGGGGTGAACGAGCCTCTCCAGAATTTTAACTGCTGGGCAGAGTAAGGATATAGGTCTGTAAGATGTTGATTGTTTAAGATCCTTATTGGGCTTTGGAAGCGGTGCAATTTTTGAATTTTTCCAAATTTGGGGGATAATGTTTTCGGACAAAGAGATATTAAAAAGGTATGTTAAGTATTGAGTAGCAAGTGGGCCGAGATGTTTAAGGTGTATATTACAAAGGCCGTCGGGACCTAGCGCTCGCGATGGTTTGCTGTCTGCAATGGCTTGTTTAGTATTTTCAGGGGTAAAAATTGGGCTGTCTGACAGCGGTAGTTTGGCAATTTTTCTTCTCGTTATACGAAGAAGTTTGTCAGAGGCGTGGGGTCTGGCATTGGTGAATTGTTTGTTAAAAGAGCTGGTAATATCACGAGGTGAGTGTATGGGTTTAGAACCAAAAGTAATGGGGTGTCTTCCTGCCACGGGCTTAGATCCATTTAAGGAGCGTACCACTTTCCAGAACTTTCTGGCACCAGTGCGGTAGTCGCAAGTCCGGAGGAATTCTCGCCATTTATTTTCTTTGTCCTTTGCTGTCTGGTTCATGAGTCTACAGTTCAGTTGGGATATGACTTCTGGGGGGAGATTTTGTTGTCGGCTGAAATCTCTTTCGGCGGCAAGGGCAGTGGACTCGGGGGAAAGAGAGGGAGTGAAGTGGCGAATACGGCCAGCGGGGATGTGGTGGCGTGCTGCCCTGAGCACCAGGTCCCTCAAGAATTTCTCTCCGGCGGCAACTCCGGAAGGTGGAACCGCTGAAAAGAAACCCTCCTCAATTTCCTCTGTGAATTTGATCCAATCTGCTTTTAAAAAATTTATAAAAGTCCTTTTAGGTGAAAAATTTATAAAATCATCCAAGGGTAGTTCTAGAAGAATGGGTAGGTGATCTGATCCTAGAGATTTAATTGGGGTCCATGATGTGGAGAGTAAGAACGATTGGGATGCGAGGGAAATATCTGGTGACGAGAGTTGGTTTTCTGAGTTAAAAGGGACTCTGGTTTGTGTGTCATCATTTAATGGTGCAAAGGTGGATTCGGTTATTTCTTTGCTAAGTACAGAGCCGCGTTGATCTTCCTCGATGTTGGAGTTCCATAGTTGTGAATGTGCGTTGGCATCCCCGAGTACTAAGGCGTCCCCAGGTTCAAGTAGTTCGGCAAGGGACGCAGAGTAACCAGGGGGACAGCTCGAGCGAGGGGGAATGTAGAAATTATAAATACGAAGCTTGGATGAACTGGCTACCACTGATATGCCCATAGCCTCTAGTGTTCCATCGTTGTTAATATTTATTTCTTCGTATTGTATCGACTCATGTATGGCTATGAGGAGACCGCCCCCTTCTTTTTCTCGATCTTTTCTAATTAAAGTGTAGTGTGAGCCTAGTGAGGGGTTTCGAGATTTCTTTCTTAATTTAGTTTCTTGGAAGACAGCAAGTTGCCCCAAAAAACACCGAAATTTGCTACTTTGGTTGAAAAACAAGGAACAGTCGTACTATTACACTACATTCGCTAATGCTCGCAAAACGTAAATAGCAATTTTTTGCGCCATTTTGCTATCAGGCAATTTTATTTGAGCTCCGTTGGGAAACAAACTATAAACAAGTTGCAGAAACTAAAGTGTCAAAAAATCAGATCTTGTTCAGAAAAATTGCACCTATCCGAAAATGAACATATGCTTGGAGATATTTAAATTTCGTGCCAATTCTACCTTTACTAAAAAAAACAACGTAATTTCAGCGTCATAGGTCGAGCTACGTAAACGAAACATAATGACAACCTATTTCAATACGAAACAATATTAAAATTTGGATCAAGTTAACAACTTCCCAAAGCTTTTTTTGGGTGAGATTGGGAAGTTATCTTAGTTCAAAGTTGAATTTTTCAGCCACGAATATCGAGAATTTTATTTGCACTGCTTAAAAAAATAATCCTAATGATGAAAGTTACTTCAAATCAAAACCAAGCAATTAAATATGAGTTGTTACCCAGTTAACTGCAGTTACGCTTTGTTGGGAAAAGACAGTGAATCAACTTAAATTATTCTTCAATACTGTACACATAAATTGCAGATTTTCTGAATTAAATTTTAAAATAAGGATAGTCAAAAGCCATTCTGAGATTCAAACATCGAACTGGCACAACACACTCTTTCAGTAAAACTAGTGAAAACCGAATTGTTTGGATAATTTTAGGAATCATCATATATCATGTTGTGCCAAATCATCAAGTAGCCGACAAAAAGCGCTCTTCCATGTAATTCTGTTTTAAATTTAAATTTTAACAACCTGTTCAAAAAACATCAACAAACCAGCAAACAATGTAAAATCTGTGTTTAGCATATCACACTGGTAAATGATCCTCGTAATTTCTAGTTAGCTCAACATTTAAACTTAAAACATGATTAAAATGTCCAACACCTCCAATTTTAAGAGTCGAAGTGACTAAAAAGTAAAGACAAACTACAACTAAAAATATAAATACAACAGCGCAAACTGAAAAACATGAGATTCTAAAGCAAGTCCTGTTAGCTTTTTGTGATGTTGTGGAGCTTTCGGCCAAAATTGAACGAATGTTGTTTTCGGATGCAGCCCAAGATGAGTTAGAGAAATCTTTGATAGCTTTTTCTGAGTCGATGACAGGAGGGGGATCAAAAAGCAGCGGTTTTCGCAACCTGAACAAAAATAAAAACTACTGAAAACAGACACAAGAACTACATATTTCAATAAGATTTGTTTAAAAAAAAATTACAATAGCTGAGTACTAATGAACTGAGAATTGCTTTTAGTTGTGGATACAATTGCAATTAAAGATTTTTATAATAAGAAAAACTGATTTTTAAGCCATATAAGCATAGGCATATTTTTAAGCATATAAAAAACCCGGGCATAAAAATTACATACTCTCAAAAGAAAAAACTTTCAGAAACGCGAACTAAGAGGCTACCCAGCAGGCAAGTTGGTCTTCCAGTGGTACCCAACAACTTATATTTAAACCTATCTTCCAACATTCAAAAATCGTACAATCAATTTCACAATCTATATGAATATCAAAAATAATAAAATTAGCTACCAAAATCTTTTCAAAAGCAATGTTCGACGAATGACAAGTATATGGACGTCTACCATCAACAGTAAACAGGATAGAAGTTAGTTATAGACTTGATTAGAACTAATTACCAGGCGGTGTAATCGAGTGAAATGGGTAAGAAAGAAGCAGCATGGCACAGTTCGCCCAAGATGCCCTCAAGACGAACGGACCCGACAATCGGGTAGGCATTTTTCACCCTGAAACTATCAGCTTCACTCCGGTCACCACTGCGGTCGGAATTCGACCTACTTCTGCGATAGGAAGAGCTTGGAGGGTGCAACAAGTTTTGTGACCAGAGAGCTCGTTGGCAAGATTTAGAGTTGGCGTGATTTGACATGCAGGAATAATTCACGTCGCCTTCTTTGGTCAAATTCGACTTCGATGAAATTCTCGAAATAACTTCAGGAACTCCTAAGAAAGTTTTGGTGGCGTTGTTGTTATTGCTGTCAAACTGACTCATAAAGGACAAGGCAAAGTCCGTATTTGTGAAGTAGTCGGGCTGCTTTTCATCGATTGGAATTAAATCGTCGTCTATAAACTGGAACTCGGCAGGATCTGTCGTGTCGCCTTCTGTAGTAGAAATATCAAGGCCATCATTGAATGTGTCACCGATTACATCATCATTTCTGTTCATCAATTGTTCATGCGATGGATCCGAGTAGTTTGTTATATTTTTATTGTTTCTGAGTTTCTGAGCATAGTTGTTGTTAACGATAGGCGTGAAATAGTCGTTAGTCTTTGATGAGCCGACCTCATCGTTGTCATTGTCGTTAGAAGTTTCTCCTGCGGCAAGTGTCGGAGTACTCTTCAAGACAGTGAATGAGTCGTAGACGGGGAGCTGTTTAGTCTGCCAAGGGAAATATACAGTTAGAAAAGAGTTACAAAATAGAATAGAGGAAAAAAGAAACAGAACCAAGAGCGGAACAAATATTAGACTCAAATGAGCGTTTCTCAGACATTTTTCAATATATACAAAAAATTAACATCTTCATCCACCCTTTAGGATTAAAGATATTAGCAGTCATTGAAGAAAAATTTGCGGTTAATGTAAGCCTTGATTAAAAAGGTTTGGTTTCTGCATAAAAAATAATCAGTTCTTAAAAGAAATGTTTAGTTAGTTTTTATTTCATTTAGTTATATAAAGCGAGAAAAAAATGACATTTAGAACAGATTAAAACAAACAAAGTTGAATATTAACCGATTTCAAGTGCGATTGGGTCACTCCGTCAACAACTGAGTTCTTCACACGCAGTGGAACCTTATCTATCTCCGAGTCCAAATTTCTCTGCATGGTTCGAATCCTATTGCATAGGAGGTACAAGTCCTGCTTTAATTCAGTCGCTACACTTGATGCCGAAGAGGATGATGTGTCTCGTGACTCCAAATTTCGGGAACCCGAGCGAGACTCGACTGAGGAAGAGAGAGGCGACGAGAGGTTGGTGAGTAGTTGGTCTGCGGTGGCTCTTAAAGCATTCACTCTGGGCTGATAAGTGTCCACTTCCGACTTGAGTTGCTGGAAAAAACTCAGCTATAAAAAAGTTCTAAGCGTAAGCGCAAACGCCAACAGCATTGAAAAACCCAATGCCTTTCCTTACCCTTAAGAAGGATCAATCTATAGATAGATCAACCTATAAATCTGTTTTTAGAGACCAGTAAATTATACTATCAACAAGCTTAGGCCACCACTTAAACAAAACATAGTCCACAGACAGCTGGAAAAGTGTCAACGAGCTCAAGGAACCTAAAAAAATTATTGAATATTTTTGAAAACGTTTTTCAATTTTCTAATTTCGGAGAAAAAGTTCAGCGTTATAACTATTTGAAAATCAAAAAATTTCATAAAACCGGGTCAATAGATAACTTTTTATTCAGCTGGGCAATATTTTCACAAGTCAAACCGCAAATAATTAAACTCAAGCTTCAACAACTTTCAGAACAGTTGGAAACGAGTCAATGAACGCAAAGAAACAGAAAAAATTCAAACACTTTTTGAAAAAGTTGAACTATCGAATTTCTTACAAAAAATGTGGCCTTGGAGCTGGTTTAATTTCAGGAGCCATTTATGATAAAAACTAACTCAATTTCAGAAAACTGAATTACAAGGAAATTTTTTATTCCACTGGAAAATCTAATAATTAAATTCCACTTTCGAAACTAACAAACGACCACGATTTCGCGCCATTTCAGCTTTCATAATTGGAGAGTGCATTTTGTCTACCTTTTAGCAAACGATTTGAATTGAACTCAAAAAGTGCATTTTTACCTAAGGGTATTCATATGCGCATTAATAAGTATGAATGCACTTCTTTTGTTATTAGAGCATTTGAAGACTTTACCGGAAAAAAATTATCGAAAACTATTAAGAGCGTGAACTACGTTCATAGACTCTTAACAAGACTTTAAAAAGTCGTAAATCACTTCGCGCAATAACACAGAAATGGAATCTAACTGTATAATTTACAGCATAAAATTTACACAGGTGCGAAACTGCACTTCGCAAAGTGACAAAAAATTGCTTTAAAAGTAGAGTGCGTTTAGTTTCAAGAGCCATTTATAAGTAAAAATAAGTCTTCAAAAAGCCTCACACCCTCGCACTGCACCACGATCTCTTGAAAATTTACTAGTAAATAATAGCTTACAATAATGCAATTACAGTTTCTATGAAAGTGCCAATTCTGTGTAGCAAAAAAGCCCGCAAGATAAACATGAATCTTCAATTTATAGATTAGAAGTCTCACTCCCTCGCATCTGCGACACGGTCGCTTGGAAGTAACTAGCATTAGCCACCAATTGAGCAGCAACAGATAGTATAAAAGTGCCTATGGTTGAAGCATACCAAAGTGCCATCAATTGAGCACTTTTATTTGCGACTTCGGTTGAAAAAAAGTTGCTTTGTAGTATTACGCTCGGCTGGTGTAATGAGCGAAACGATTCATATCCTGAAAAACAAAACAAAATAGAGAAGGTGTACCTTAAACACCAAGTATCTTTCTCTTTTAATGACTTCGTCGTTTTTGCCCTTTTCCCGTCCATTGCTCTTCAGATCAGTCAATGATGACGTCAGCGATACCTCACTCTTCGCTTGCACACTATCAAAATCAACCTCAACTTGACCCAGCCACTTAACTATGTCGTTAACTGTCTTTTTGACTTCTAGACTCTCCACCAGACAATTTTGCAGTACTCGCTGAGTCTGAACAGCTTGTGAACAGAGTAGTTCGAAGTGTGAATTCATTCGGTTGATCTCATCGTTCAAAGTGTGGCTTAGGGAACCGAATAAATTATTGCTATCATTGTAATCGTCTCCAGTGTATCTTTCCATGTACATGTTGATGGACATTAATGTGGTCTTTTTGCCATTAAGACCAACCATCAGTTCCTAAACGTACAAAAATATGCATTTTCATTCACCATATGCATGATCAAAAAATTTTACGGTAGAAAAGCTTCAAATTAGCCTCAAATCACAAAAGAAAATAATAAAAAATTTTGAATCAAATGTTTTTTTCTTCAGAGCAAATGTTTGATGTTGAATATATTTTATATTGTATGGTGTAAAAATTTCATTTTTGGAATTCAAAACTACATTCATACAACGGAAAGAAAGAAAGAATTTATTTCTCACTGTTAATGGTAAATTTGCATATAAAGAGAATTTAAATATGAAGCACCAGAAACAGTGAGGGGACAGTTAATGAACCCAATTTGGCTACTCAGCACTGCCCGTTTTATCAAATGAAGGACAAATTTGTGATCTTCAAAGACAAGGAAAAATATATAAATCTGAAAACATAAAAGAAGATATTGGAAAGAAAAATATTCAAGTTTGAATAAACATAAAGCAGCAGATTTAAGGCATTGTCTAGACAGATTAATGACATAAAGTCCACGCTCTGTATCAATATTTAAAGTGATGGTTCAATCGTAGTCGGTATAAAACCAAATTAAAGAAGAAGCTAGTTCAAATTCATCATTCATAATTTCTGAAACTCGCTAGTCGTAGGCACCCCTATTCGGTTTCAAAAACAAAACTTGAACTTAATCCCTTTACGGTTACTGCTTCTACTAACTGTGTCCCATCCCTTGAAGCCTCTCTAAAATCAGCAGAGCTGATTGGGGGCTAAACGGTCAGTAGACATCCAACTGAGCCCATGCGGCAGTAACCAGCGAACAAGCCCAAGTGTGGTCTTCAAAACGCCGAAGACGCATTGAAAACCATATACAAATATACTTAGAAAAAACTTCAAACAAGCAGGTACTCCACATCTGTCATCCTCCAGCATTATCCTTGCATCCACAAAAAAATTGTCAACAAAAAACAAATTTGATTAGCTCTTCATTGCTTAATATAAACAAATCCCGAATTTCGTGGGCAATGCGTTGAATATCTGAATTTGAAACTTGATCAAAAAATTTGGGAATTCTGTCTAAATATATTAAAAAGCTTGGCTCCTCTGTAACTAATTGAAGCTCTTTGAATTTAGCTTTTGAAATTAGGAACTTTCATTAGATTAAGATTTGACCTTCTGGTCATATACGACGGTTTATCAAATACAAAAACTCGTTTAAAAAAGTTTCAGAGTGTAGTCCTGCTACTGATCGCAAAAAAAAATTGAAGAGTTCACATACATGCAGCTCGTGATCTGTTAAAAACTTTTCATCATTAAAAACTTTTCGAATGCTTTCATATTTTCTTTTGAAAAAACTAAATCGAATAATTTTTTTTTGGATCAAAAAAGGGGTAAAAGGTTTGTGTAGGAAGTGCAACCATACACTAATATTCCATATTGCAAAATGGGCTTAATATTAGAGCCATAATAATCAATCATATCAGTTTTGGGAACATAATGACGCATTTTCGAAACAATGCCACATTGTTTTCTAAGCTTGGATCGTATGAAATTAATGTGAGAATTAAATGATAATTTAGCATCTACATAAACACCAAGATATTTGCATGACCCTTCAATTTTCAAAGGAATGCTATTAATAAACAATTGTTGGTTGGAAGCACTGTTAAGAGATACACTAACTTGTACCGTTTTGTCCATATTTAGAGATAATTTATTCAAAAATAACCATTTATTTATAGCTTCTAAGTCTTGATTGAAGCTTTCAACCGAGCAGTTTAGTCCAGTGACGTTTGTGTCGTCGGCAAATAGAAAAACTTCGCTAAATTTACAGACTGTTGAAAGGTCGTTTATATATATAAGAAACAGCAGAGGCCCCAAAATGGATCCCTGTGGGACACCACATTCAAGACTTCGCCACATTGATCGCGTTTCACCAATTTGGACAAGTTGTTTGCGGTGTTTCAAGTAACTTTTAAACCAAAGTAGACTTTTCCCACTGACATCATACATTTATAACTTATGAAAAAGAATCTCGTGATTCAGTGTGTCAAAAGCTTTTTTTGAATCAAGAAAAACTGTTCTCTTTGGTGATTTAGTTTCATCTAAGCGACATTTCTCTGTTACTTCGGCAATAGCATCAATAGTACTGTGTTTTTTTCGGAAACCAAACTGTTTGATATAAATTAGAGAGTTTGCTTCAAGATAGCTATACACTCGGTTGTACATTGCACGTTCAAATACCTTACTCCAGGTTACAAGAAGTGATATTGGCCGATAGTTACTGACATATAATTTCGATCCTGCTTTGTATAAAGGATATACTACCGCTTGAGCCAGAGCGGTAGGAAAACACCCTGATTTCAAGGATAGTTCAATGAGTTTTTTCAGGAAGGGAACAATTGTGAAAGAACTAGCTTTAGCAATTAGATTACTAATTCCATCTATTCCAGAAGATAATTTGTTTTGTAGCGTTGAAAAAATAACTTCAACTTCATATTCAGTAATTGAATTTAAACGCATGCAAAAACGAGGCTCTGAATAAAATTGATCGGATTCTAATTTGGGTATTTGATTAGCTAAATGACTGCCAATAGAAGAAAAGAAGTCATTGAACTCATTTGCGACAGCTAGCTTATCGCTAACAACGTCACCACTACTTCCATTTACCGAAACTTTTCTTCTACTTGATGTACTTGTTATACCCTTTAAATCATTTAGTAATTTGTATATTTTCCTTGAGTCACCAATACAATTTTTGAACTTATTACACTAAAACTTTTTTTTACATTTTTTAATTTCAATTTCAACTTTACTTCTGGCAGATTCAAAACGAAATCTTGCTCTAACGTTGTTTTTGTTTTTTGACCAAGCTCTGTGAAGTCTGTTACGCTTGGATATTAAGCTTTTTATGTGATTGCACATCCAGGGGCAGTCAACGTTTCGTTTCTTGGTTTTTGATATTCTAAGCGGAGCATATTTATTTAATATCAAATCGTATCTAGACTGGAAATCTTCAAACAAGTCATTAACTGAGGATGTGTTTTCGAACCATTTAATTTTCTGCAATTCATGCATTAAAGCAAAATTGAAGTTTTCGATTTGAGTTTTAGATTTTAAAAAGTTGTATCACGATAAGAATTTGAAGATTGCATATGCCAGGTTGTGGTAATCAGCTCTAGGATAATGGGCAAGTGGTCAGAGAAGGTTTGATCTTCAAGCGTATAAGCATTTTTTACATCAACATCTTTCACTATTATGTGGTCCAGAAGAGTATCACATGTATTTCCTATTCGTGTTGGTTGTTTAATCACCTGATCGAAGACGTTGCCTTCTATAGAATCAATATACTTTGAAGAGAGGTTGTTAGTTTTTAGGATATCAATGTTAAAATCACCGCATATTATGACCCGATCATTTTTGGCAGAAATTGTGTCGAGAACATGTTCAAACTGTTCTATAAAGTAAAACTTGTCTGTTTTAGGAGGGTTGTACACCAACATTATCAAGAAGAATTCTTGATTAATCTTAACCAAAATTGTTAAACTTTCTTCAAGTTCCGCTGGTAGTTCTTCGATTAAAGTTACATTTTCTTTCAATTGTATCATCACCCCTCCTCCAGTACTTGCTCTTGGCTTACTAATTACCTCATGATAACCTTTTATTTTATAGCTGTATTTGTCGTCATATTCATGTAACCATGTTTCGCTTAGGCAAATAATATCAGGTGGTGACTCAAGGGAACTTACAAGTGCTTCCAACTCATCATGGTGTTTACGTAATGATCGTACATTCATGTGGAATATTTTAGCAACTTTTGAAAATGAATTAGGGTTTTGGCAAGGGAATGGTTTTGATAATGGTTGCTATTGCTTTACGAAGCAGCTTTCTATTTGATTCATTGAGTATTGCAGCTTCATTCCTCCTTCATAGAGTCCTCGTACACAATGCGTTGAATTGTCATCCTTGAACTTGAAAAAAATACTCCCTTCTCTTGTCCAGATAGATTCGAATCTTCCGTCTTGTTTCATAAGGTTGAAAAACTTGAGTCGCGGGGCCGTTAGGTCTTCGAAAACTTTGACTGAGCTCATCGATTGAGATTGGTTCAAATTCCTTTTTTTTCGGAGAAGTTCTACTTTTGACACTCGTCTACAGAAGCGCACAATCATTGGTCGAGCATTCGAATTTCTCCCAGGTAACCTATGGGCAATTGAGATATCTGATTTTTCAACCTGCGCACCCATTTCACTAGCTACACTTAACACTTTTTCAATACTTTGATTGTAGTCTTCAAAAATCCTTTGGCCGTTATCGGCTGTTCTCTTCACTTCCGGTAATCCAATTATCCGCACATTGTCTCGCCTATTGTATCCTTCTAGAAGTTCAGCTTCTGATACACTTTTCAAATTACATTTTCTCGTCTCCATCTCTATTGTTTCCATAATCTCCTTTAACACTGACTCTTTAATATCCTGCAGTCCTTGATTGATTAAAGATTTGAAAATTGCTGATAGTGATGTTTCCAATTTTTCGACAATTTTTGGAAATTGAAACTCTAATACTTTCTCTATGGTTGACTCTATAGTCTCGTTCAGGCTGTTGTTTGCTTCAGATGCTGATTGCAAATCTGGGCTGAAAGAGACACACATTCGTTTTGAAGAGGATTTAGGGATCGGCGTCTGGTCTTTAAATCGTAGCGGTGGAATAGCATTGTCCGATTCTTGGACGCTCAACTCTTCTGTTCTCAACTCTTCTGTTGGAACTCCATTGGTCAGGTCGGTGTTTTCCATTTTACGTCTCTATTTAATAAGTTTATCACAACAATTAGGCTAAAGAAACATTCTTTAAAGAAACATAAATTTGAACGCAAGAACATGTGACACTAATTTTGTATATTTATTGAAAGCTGCAGCTAATTTGCTTATTGAATGACTGACCCTATGTGTCTGGATGAGTTGTTCTAGCTGGTGCAGCGAGACTAATCTTCTTTCCTCGACCCCTTCCGGAGTCATCAATCGTTTCATCAACCTCTTCGACTCCGTGTTAGTCGCGAACAACTCCGATTCTCGTCTTTCCATAGTTCCCCCATTCCTCCCAAATGTGGAGTGCGATGAGAAAAGAGAACTGTGCTGCACAATCCAGTCACGGAATGTCTGGACATCTGCGATGAACTGGTGCCACAGCTGGTAGTTGTGCTTCAGACGACGTCGCTTCTCCACCGCACGAGACTTGATCACATCCCAACGCTTGGCGCACACTGTAAACAATGTACACTAGTCTAGTTCTACTACTGCACATTTGAACTTGCAGGAATCTTCCGAAAAGCTAACAGACCGTTTCAAAAATATGATTACAATTTTTTTATTGTTCTGACTACGGTTTGAAGAGGAACTCCACGTATGAAAAACTTGGATGCATCTGAATAAAATAAATTCATAGAGAAAACCAATTAATTTTATATCCGAACCTTCGACGTTTGTGCACAATTCGGAGCTCTTCTCCAGTCCTGTTCTTTCACTCTCTTGTAACTTGTTGAAAATGGACTTGACCACATCTACCGACGCCTTGCTGCCTGCGATAGTGGCTGAGAAGTTCTGCTTCTCCCTCTCACAAGCTTCGCCTGTAGGAGTGGCACATCTCAGCAGTTTCTCGGCTCCGTCCAGTTTCTGTCGGCACTCCACCAAGGCGTCGTGAAGGTCACCCATACGCGGCTGAAAAAAAAAATCGACATTATTACTATTCATCTGCCATCGATTTTGACCTTTAAATCTTTGGTGAAAAAAAAAAGAAAAGAAGCCAAAATACTTTTTTCAACGCTCTAAAACAGTGATTTTTTTGTGGTAATCCGCTGGGGGTTCAGATGTAATGAAACTTCGCGCCAATGCCATCTACAAAATTTCAGACATCTCCAAAAAGTAACTGTTTCAGAAAACCTGCTTCCAAAATCATTTCAATTTCGGTACGTTACGACATATTTGAGCCTTTTCAACCGGCACAGTATTTTCAAACTATTAACTTTCCTGAACAGTTACGATATACTCTAGTGATCTATAAGATCCTGTTTGAATTCAAATTTTCGAAGGCGTCAAATCATCTCATGAAAAGTGCCACCAACTAGCCTCAATTTTCTGAAGAAGCAACTTCTGCTTGGGACTGTACTGCTTTTTGTTCGGGTCTGCATACTTGATGTAGGTAGATCCAGAACCCGATCTGCTATTCCTTTGAGCTTCACCTTTAGTTGGAGACCCCATCTGGTTGTTTCTATTCCTACTTGAGCCATATACACTGGATGAAGATTCCCGCTCGCCATTAATATTGTCACTTGAGTGCTGCGGTGCTTCGTAATGATCCCAGTCGAGGTCCAACATCGAGTTTGATCTATTGTTGTTCACCAACGGCGAGCTTCTGTCGCTTTTTTGAGACTCTTGTAACGAAGACTGACGATTATGCCTGCGCAAATATCAAAATTGAGAATACCAAACGCAAAATGTTGATGAAAATGTTTCCACAAATTCGGCATTTAAATTTTAATACAATAACTGAAGAAATAATCACCTCTGATTAAAAGCATCGCTATTCCTTTCTGCGCTCGTTTGGACTGGTCTGTGAGCAAAGAAATTTCGCCTTTCATTAGCGTTGATTCCATCAGACCTCATATATCTGTCACCTTCCTCTCTATAGGCTCCTCTGAATCTCAAACTCGATACATCCGACTGTCGGGAACTGGTTCCTACCGATCCTGACATATGTTCATGAAAACCCGAGATTGGGTCTTGTGAGTCGGTTGTGCGCGAGTTTAGATATGATAAGTTATCTTCCGTCGGTGTTGCGGACGTAGCGTTGGTTGCAGTAGAGGCCGGGTAGTGACGGCGTCTGTTCAAGGCACTCAAGGAAGCACTTTTACGGGCGAAATTGTCTCGACTGTCTAAGGAACTGGCATCAAATGTTTTCAGGTCCATAGTCGATGACGTCAACAGAAGGTGCGACTTCAATGCATTTGGGGAACAACGTCTGTTCACATTAAATGGCAAGCGCGATGTATTCCACGTTTCAAGTGCGTTTTCTCTCTTAGTGTACACTTCATCGTGTAAAGGTCTGCTGAAGCTCTAAAACAGATTTTTTTTTATAGTTTTCCAATCTCAAACACTACTAAATTCCGGCCCTTTCATCAGTAGAAGTTCATACCTTTTGGTGCTCCAGTTTCTGTTCAAGTCGTGAAACTCGATCGTTCACACTTTTGGCCAGTTTGTTGAATTCATTCAGCTCATTGGTTATAAAGGAAACTTGCAGTTCATTTTCATTGTTTGCAACACCTTCTACTGACCGACTGTCTGCTAGTTTTTGTCCAATCAAATTTAAGTAATCGATTCTTCCTTGGTGAGTTGCGATGTCCCGCTTGATTTCCTGAAACACTTGATATTTTAAAAAAAAACTATTTTACATATGCCTGTGCGAAGTCAAAATGATCTTTTTGAAAACCGCTTGGTATATGCCTGCCTGTGCAAAAGTGGCTGGGTCCAAGCGGTTCGAAATTTTCTGGCTTTAGTTTTTGTTTCAAATAGCGTTGTGTTATAAATGGGATCGTACTTCAATTTCTATCTTAAACTTTCCCGCAGTATTCTCTTATAACGTAGGGATTCCTCAATTAGCAAATTTCAAATCAAACTGACCTTAAGTTGCTGCATACGCCCTTTGAGGTCATCTTGGGATGCGAACATGTCAACTTTGGTCACTCTAATATCCAGGTCCATCAACCAGATCATCAAAGTCTGCTTTAGCTGGGCGAACTCCTCTCCTTGTTTCAGACCCCTCTTCAGTCGCGCTTCACATGCGTAGAACTGCTTGTCTACCTGAAAGAACATTGGGATATAGACGAGGTATCATATTCAAAGTTGCAACATTTTCTAATTACGTAAAAACTTGTTCAATTTGCGGACACAGGGGGGGGGGGGCAAATTTAAACATTTGAGCGTTTGGGCGAAGAATAAAAACCTTACCTCGCTCCACAATCTGTTTACTTCCTCCAGCTTGTGACGCAATCCATCCCCGCTGCTGTTTCCGTTGAACATGTTGGTGTTCATGTTCAGAGAAGAACAAGGAGGCACTTCGAAGATGACCACATCGTCGGACAACACCCTGTATTGCTTATTGATATTCTCCAACTGATCTAGAGACTTTCTGAAGTCCGTTCTCTGCTCCTAAAGTTCACCATATACTTAATTAACCGTAATTTGACAGCTAGTATGAAAAAATTGGAAAAGTGTAAAGAAGGCTAGAAAAAAGGTTCGAAAGCTGAAAAAAATTTCTTTTTGAAGAAAACATTACATCAAGTTAGAGCGCTTTGAATTTCAAGAAAAATTTATGATAGATGCTTTTTTGATAAAAACTAATCCAATTCAAGAAAACTGGATGAATGGGTAACGTTTTTATTCCGCTGGGAAATCTGAAAACTCAAATCCACTTTCGAAACTAGAAGTCGTACCCGTTTTTTTTCGCTTGATTTCTGCCTCGCAGTTGGAGAGCGCAATTTTCCTGACTTATAGCAGATAAATTTGAATTGAACTCAAACACTGCACATATTCACCAATGCATTAACAAATTAACAAAAATTCATCAGACTTATCTGAATAAAAGTCGTTTTATTCTTTTATACTTGAAACAAATCGTAATAAGTATAACCAGTTGCTTTGCAAGTAGAACAAAAATTGCAACCGCGAAAAAAACGCTTTTTCTTTAAAAATATATCGTTTTTTGTTCGTTGGGTGAGGAGAACAGCTGAACGAAAGCCTAAAGCTTAAGCATATTCGATAGTAACCCTAAACAACATATAGCCTAAATGCTCTTTGAACTTCAAAACAAATTTGAAAACTGGATCAATAGGTAAATCTAAAGAATAAAATTAACTTTCGGCACTAAGTTTTTCACGTTCTTGCGCGCCATTTCCACGTTCGTAAATGGAGAGCGCAATTTACCTAACTTTTAGTTAAAGCTGGAGATACCAGTTTCATATTTTTGTAATTGATATACTGATGCGGGATGAAATGCACAATTTTAAAATTTGGACTTGACCCAAAACCTCAGTTGTTTATACTAAAATTAATGATAAGAGTGAAAACTTTTGAGATATTGTAATTTCCTAAAGACATAATACTTCCCTCACAAAACAAATGAGTAAACGCCGCCTCTGCAGGAAAAATTATCGAAACTGCTCATTCAATTGAACTCTTCATCTCAGTTTTGATAGGGTAGTTTTTAAGAAAAATCAAAAAGTTTCTGGAAAACGGTCAAAAAAGTTCAAAACTTTTTTCTTATAAACATTGGGCGTAGCTAATTATAAATGCAGGCTCAACAACCTGTTGATTTGATTTAATCTATGATATAAGATTTGGCAAGATATACATCGAGAAAAGTTCAAAACCGGTCAAAGAATAAATAATTTGACATTTCAGAGAATCATAGTTTTCAGTGTACAAAAAAACGGCGCGTAGCCGTTTATGCAGAAAAGATCCATGCAACCGGTAGTTTTTCTAAAAAGCGGTTAAAAAACTAAATTGACTTTTCCGAAGGCCGTAACTTGTAGTGTGAAAATTTGAGCGTAGTCGCGTAAGCAAAAAAGCTTCCCACAACCAGTTCTCTGGATTGAACCTTGAAACGTCAGATATGGATGAGTATTCTCGAGAAAATTCAATAAAATGAAATAACCGTCAAAAATCATATATTCGCAACACTTGCGCTGCTAGTACACAACTCAAAAAAATCTGAAAAACGGCCATAAGTTCAGAAACATGACTTTTGGAAAACCATAACTTTTTTGTCCAAAAAGCAGTTTTTGGCCGTTAAATTAAAGAAGACTAGGGTGTAACGAACCTCCAGTGCTTCACATTTTTGAGAACTCATAAAAAACCGCATATATTGAAAAAAAAATCTAGAGCCTTTGAGTGTAGTCTGACACTACCCAATAACAGGGTTCGTAATTTCAAAATTTGATAAACTTTTTCTATGCGCTTTTAAATTCAAATTAAAAAAAAACATTTGAATTTTTCTATCTAAGTTTTTTTTGAAAAAAATTTAAAATGACATAAAAAAAACGTCACATATTGGCAACTAAAGCATTTGAGCAGACGCATTTGGACGCTAAATTTACAACTCTTGGTAAATACATGACATCTGGAAACTTGAAAAGTCCTGAGAAGTCATATGTGGCGGCGGCGAGATTTGCAACCCCCTCCAGTACTCTGGCAGCCCCCTACTTAAGGGTTGGGAATTTCAAAATATGAAGAAAAAAAATAAATTTAAGTTTACTGAAACTTTTTGAAAAACGCAAATGTCATATCTCGATAACTACAAAGAATTGAGCAGTCAAATTTGGAGTCAAAAACGAACCCCTGAAAATACACTGATAGTCGCCTCCCAAAGTACAAGGAAGAGGGCTTCAAAATTCAATTGAAACTTGAAAAAAAAATTTAAGTTAGCTGAAACTTTGTTGAAAAAATCACAAAAACCGTCATATCTCGAAAACTAAGAACATTTGAGAAGTTATATTTGGAGGGATGATTTGCAGCGGCCCGAGAACTTTCTGACAGCTCCAACTTAAGGGTCGGGAATTTCAAAACTTTATAGGAAAATTCAACTTATCACAAATCACATCTCGTAAACTATAAAAATTTGAACAGTCATAATTGGAAGTGAGGTTCGCAACCCCCGGTAGTATTCTTACAGCCCCCAAATAGAGTGTTGGGAATTTCAAAATTTGACAAAATTTTTAAATTTAAGGTGTCTGAATATTTTTGAAAAAAAAAACGTCATAACTCGAAAACAGAGTATTTAAGCAGTCGCATTGGGGCGCAAGATTTATATCTTGAGGTTCCTGAGAGTACCCTCACATTACCCAATTGCAAGATTGAGAACTTCAAATCTTTTGAATTTTTATAATCTAACTTTATAAACTCGAAAACTACAATGATTTGAGAAGCCATATTTGGAGACTTCGCAATCTTTGAGAGTATTCTGACAGCACCCAACCACAGGGTTGGGATTTTCAAGCTTTTAAAAATCATTTTATAAGTTGAATTTTCTGAAAAAACTTTGGAAAACTCACAAAAATTGTCTTATCTCGTACACTAAAAGGATTTCGGCATTCTTAAATGAAGAAAGACCAAACTCGCCACCCCTGGGTAAACTCTGAAAATATCCCAATTTTGCGTTGCTAACTTTAAACTCGGTGGAACAAACACTACATTCAAATTGGAAAATCGAAAAAAAAAATTCTTACGAATTGTTATATACGATATAGCTTAACCACGCATAGATACTTTATGCGTTGCAAAAACACGCTTAAACATGGCAGGAAACGTGTCACGCGCATTTAATTATAGAATAGAGAGATAGATTTCCAAAACCGGGTTCCTAGATTGAATACTTTACCTGAGAATTGGCTCGGTAGTTTTCGAGTAACGTCAAAAAGTTTCGAAAATACGGTCGAAGATTCAAACTTTTTGATGGCCAATACTTTTCTCTTATAAATATTGGTATTAACCAACTTTAAAGAAGACTTAACAAGCTTTTGTTTCCATTTATTCTATGATATAAGAGTTGGCAAAATATTTATTGAGAAAAGTCCAAAACGATCATAAAATCAAAAATTTGACATTTACAAGAATCATAGCTTCATAGAGATTCACAAAACCTTTGATTTCGAATAAATCCAAAAACTCAAATTGGACGGGTAGTTCTCAATAAAAGTCGCAGTTTTTCAAACAACGGACAGAAAATCGAAATTGTGACTTTTCCGAGGGCCATAATTTTTGTGTGAAAATTTGGGCGCAGTCGTGTATGCAAAATAATTTCACTCAACCCGTTCTCTGGATTGAACCTTGAAACGTCAGATATGGATGAGTATTCTCGAGAAAATTCAATAAAATGAAATAACCGTCAAAAATCATATATTCGCAACACTTGCGCTGCTAGTACACAACTCAAAAAAAATCTGAAAAACGGCCATAAGTTCAGAAACATGACTTTTGGAAAACCATAACTTTTTTGTCCAAAAAGCAGTTTTTGGCCGTTAAATTAAAGAAGACTAGGGTGTAACGAACCTCCAGTGCTTCACATTTTTGAGAACTCATAAAAAACCGCATATATTGAAAAAAAAATCTAGAGCCTTTGAGTGTAGTCTGACACTACCCAATAACAGGGTTCGTAATTTCAAAATTTGATAAACTTTTTCTATGCGCTTTTAAATTCAAATTAAAAAAAAAACATTTGAATTTTTCTATCTAAGTTTTTTTTGAAAAAAATTTAAAATGACAAAAAAAACGTCACATATTGGTAACTAAAGCATTTGAGCAGACGCATTTGGACGCTAAATTTACAACTCTTGGTAAATACATGACATCTGGAAACTTGAAAAGTCCTGAGAAGTCATATGTGGCGGCGGCGAGATTTGCAACCCCCTCCAGTACTCTGGCAGCCCCCTACTTAAGGGTTGGGAATTTCAAAATATGAAGAAAAAAAATAAATTTAAGTTTTCTGAAACTTTTTGAAAAACTCAAATGTCATATCTCGAAAACAGAGTATTTAAGCAGTCGCATTGGGGCTCAAGATTTATATCTTGAGGTTCCTGAGAGTACCCTCACATTACCCAATTGCAAGATTGAGAACTTCAAATCTTTTTAATTTTTATAATCTAACTTTATAAACTCGAAAACTACAATGATTTGAGCAGCCATATTTGGAGACTTCGCAATCTTTGAGAGTATTCTGACAGCACCCAACCACAGGGTTGGGATTTTCAAGCTTTTAAAAATCATTTTATAAGTTGAATTTTCTGAAAAAACCTTGGAAAACTCACAAAAATTGTCTTATCTCGTACACTAAAAGGATTTCGGCATTCTTAAATGAAGACCAAACTCGCCACCCCTGGGTAAACTCTGAAAATATCCCAATTTTGCGTTGCTAACTTTAAACTCGGTGGAACAAACACTACATTCAAATTGGAAAATCGAAAAAAAAAATTCTTACGCATTGTTATATACGATATAGCTTAACCACGCATAGATACTTTATGCGTTGCAAAAACACGCTTAAACATGGCAAGAAACGTGTCACGCGCATTTAATTATAGAATAGAGAGATAGATTTCCAAAACCGGGTTCCTAGATTGAATACTTTACCTGAGAATTGGCTCGGTAGTTTTCGA